GTCCAGGACATTTCAGTTGGGATGAAGTGGAAAACAGAACAAAGGACGCTGCTGAAGACGTGCCACATGAAGAAGCCACCGTCAAAGAAGAAACTCTACTCAGTTTTGAGAAGGGAAACAGTGAAGCTCTTGATGAAGTTACTACGACTGATGTGACTGTTATCGACGATAGGACATTTCCTGATGAAGCAGATGAACCCCACGTGAAGCAGAAGCCTACAAGACGGAGACCAGTACGGAAGAAGATACGTCCCGTAAAATTAAGAGACTTTGTTGAATTGTAATTTTATGTTTGTAATTCTGTACATTTGATTACGTTATTGTTAATTGTTATTGGTTTATTGTATGTGGTTATTGTTCGGGACGAACAATACTAAGGAAGGGCAGTGTTGCGTCAGCGAGGTCACATGACTAGTGTCACGCCACTTCTCGAACCTTCGGGAATAGTCGGGAGATTACTAGATATAGGGTAGTCTGGTATATATATAAGAGGGGGACAGTGTGTGTAGGTAAAGAGTAATTGAACTGCAGTCAGAGAGAGACGTATTGTTGAAGTTAACGTCGTTATTATAGTTTGTTATAGCGCGACTGTTGAAAATAAGTGTATCGTAAAGTTGTATTCGGAAAGAATAAACCAGTTTTATTAAGTAAGGACTAGTGTCGCTAAAGTTTCGTCGGAACGAAGTTACGGAAAGTTAATTAACAAACGGAGACGTAACATTATGAACTGTGGGTATCTCTAGTTCTTTACACCCAAATCAACATTGTTGTAACCACCCATAATTCCTATAACTAGTTTAATTAATACGAACATTTTACAAATAAGAATTTGATATCTTTTTTACCTTACAATGTAAATGAGTACATTGTTAATAATACCCTCATTACAGTTACCTTGTGTTCCCTACTTTCATTTAACTATTAACATTTTCTGAAAAACAAAACATTCATACTCCGAAGGAAAGTTTTCATTTTAAATAAACAAATAGATACAAAGTACATCACACTATTTACTTAGTAATTCATCTATGGTGAACGTAGTAACCGTTGTATTAATATTCGTTTACTACACAATAAAAATAATGCAACAATATTTAACAGAAAGACTCACTTACTCGTAATTCGTAGCATACACCGCTTTTTCTGACTTCTTGTTCTGAATGAAGCCAACCACTCGGTGGTTTATTGATAAAACTATCAGGTTCACCACTACCAAAATTCCATCCACCTGTAAATCCCGAAAGATTAGTGTTGCCGCACATCCCCATGCGACTCATATCTGTTCTGTGTCCGGGCGTGTCGGAGACTTTGGACAATGACCTGGTGAATCGAGTGTAACGGTCCGCAAATTCTGGTCCCTGGTGCGCCGAGAACAAATCTGCCGCCTTACGGAAAACCTCCTGTTTTTCGATATGTCTTGCGATTTTAGGTTGAACGGTTGGCAGAGATTCAGATAAAGTCGACGAGGGCTTAGATCTTGATAAGATAGCTGCAGCGTCGGGCTTACGAAATGTCCGCACCGACGAGTCTCCTAGAGGCATATGACAATAATCCTCCTCCTTTAAATTATGGTAAGCAAAAAGAAAACACCTCAACATTGTCACAGCACACAAAACACTCACAAAGTTTATTATTATACCGTAACAAGAGCTAATAATACTATGACTTCGTCCATTATAAATGGCTGAGCATTGTAATAACTATGATTACAGCTCGCTGAGTAGCTCAAGGAAAAACATCAGTTGAAATGTAGCTCATATCCATTCAAGCTTCCGTACATCCTTCTAACCTCATTCAGTAACCTAGACAACAAAATAGATTGCAGCTGGAGTATCCACCTACGCTCTTTTGCCAAGCACCAAATGAAAGCAGCTCGCAGCGCCTGTTGGGACAGGAAGTGAACTGCTCTAGTCTTGTGATTGCGGAGAGCATTGACACGTTTGAGAAGGCGCGAAAACTTGCTCGTTAATTTACATTCACATATTAGTATAGATATCATAAAACTTATGCTACACTGTGACACGTGTGACAGTTTCTCAGGATGTGAATAAATCAACCATTTCATTCATACTGTTCTTCAATATCTGTACATAATCAATAACACGATTCGATATCACAGCATATTAACTCAGCTTAATTACAACAAAGCCTAAACGTTTTCACATATTTAAGGTCAAAATCCCAGGTGAAAGTGTGAGATCACAACTTAATGAGTTGTATATATATATTCTCCCTGAGAGATAATTCTCTTATATTAGAAATATACAAGCTTTAGCTATACAAAATGCAAAATATATCAAAATTTCATCGTCTTCATAATTAAGTGATTATTTCCAAACTTGTGAAACACTATCTTTCTTGTACATGCAGATTCCAAAATCAGTTTTTCAGAACAAAAATAAAAATTAAATGTATACACTTATATCTATATCGAAGATTCAAAAATTAACTTTTTTCGTATGCAATAAGACACACATACAAGCATGTGCATTTGGTAGTATTGTAAATGAGGTAAATGTCCTCTAGTACATAATATTAACTAATGTCTCTTTTTACTCTAATCCTTGCAAAGAGAATTTCAAGTGCCGCGGCTATTGAGGACTCCTTCTTGTTTAGTCATTGGTTTCCTGAAAGCCGAAACGTTCAGATAAATAATTAACATTTGTTGTTTGTTTATTTTCATCCATTATATTTTCTTTCTTTTTTCCCTTTATTGCAGCCCATCATTAATTTCAACACTTATTAATGTTTCCAACATCTACTTGTGTGCAGACGAGCCAATTTTCACTACCCACTTGAGTGAACCAACTGAGTTTAAAATCCTGAATCATGAGGTAAAATTGTAACTTTTTTCTTACCTTTGACTCTGTTAAATCCAACGCGTGGTTAATAACAAAATGATACTATACGGTGGAACAGCTGTAACTTAAGGGCTTACAAAACTAAAATTTCAAGTTTGATAGATGCGATGGGCAGAAAGCATATAGTCCATTGTGTAGCTTTGTGCTTAGAAATATACTTACGTGGCTGCAATGAGAAGAAATACACACACACACACACACATTGGATGGTGGTATGCTTGGAATTCATTTGTTACCAAACACTTCGTTAGAACTTAGAACGATATTTCTTATCTGTAACTCATCGTAGAGGGTACGACTTCAAATGTGCACAACTTGTCATATGATACTTCTCATAGTATTATTATTGAACTAGCTGAAGTACCCATTCTACGTCCGGGAGCAAAAGAATTAAGAGAAGCTGTAACCTCATTGGTGTTTCCTGTGAAGGGCACTGCTGTCGTCTACATTCTTAAACATCGCGAAGCGTTACAACAATTGAATAGCGTTGTTTAAATATTTGTTTAACAACAAGTAACAACAACCTATAGAATGATAGGTTTCTTTTTTGTGAGAGTATGTTTGTTTGTTTTGGAATTTCGCGCAAAGCTACACGAGGGCTATCTGCGCTAGCCGTCCCTAATTTAGCAGTGTAAGACTAGAGGGAAGGCAGCTAGTCATCACCACCCACCGCCAACTCTTAGGCTACTCGTTTACCAACGAATAGTGGGATTGATCGTCACATTATAACACCCCCACGGCTGAAAGGGCGAGCATGTTTGGTGGGATGCGAATTCGAACCCGCGACCCTCAGATTGCGAGTCAAGCGCCCTAACCTAGCTTTGCGCGAAATTCAAAAACAAACAAACAAACTCCCCTGAATTAATAAGCTATAATAACACATTTAATTACAATTTAGCCCCCAGTGGCACAACGGTATGTCTGTAGACTTACATCTCTAGAAACCGGGTTTCTATACCTGTGGTGGGCAGAGCACAGATAGCTCATTGTATAGCTTTGTTCTTAACTTGAAACAAACAATTAAAACTTATAATTAATTTATCATCACCAGAAGGGGGTCGAAACTGTTCATTTTAAATTTCGAAGTCTCTTTGCATCTGTGTTATTCAAAACATTTTTTTAGGAATCATTTCCTGAGCCTTTAATTGTAAAATGTTATGCTTATCCGTTTTTTTTTCATTCTTATTTGCTCTCTTAGATATGAACTAATTTGTTTTCTAACATTATAATCGGATTTTATTTTTTCATTATTTTTCAGAATACTATTCAAACTACAACTTACTCCGGGTTTGCTATTTAACTAAGTAATTTAAGTGTTTTTATATTCGTAAAAGTTTAGTCCATTGTTTATCCCAACTATGTGCAAAGTGTCCTGACCAATAATTTCTATCAGATGTTTTTTTTTTTGTCTTTCAGATTTGTAGTGCATACTGAAGAGATTTACACCTTTTAATAAAAGTTTGGAAAAAACGACCTTTACACTCCAGATAAATGTAGAATAATATATTTTTATTTCAACCAACGTTTCGCCTTTGCAGCTTCATCAGGGTTAATATACACCCAGGTTTTTACTTTCACCTCTTTGTGGTAAAAAGAATAGACCAGGGACTGGCATCTGGTAATTGACCTCTTTTCTCTCATTCGCTTACTGGTCATTCCACACTTTCGGATGACAAACTTCTTTTCTATCCATTAGTCTTTTTTCACCCATACTGTGGATGACCAAGTTCGATATTTTTTATGCATTCCTTCACATCGTGATAGCCCTGTCCTGTTTTCTATGCTCTAACCACTGGAATCACGTCTTGCAGTTCTGTGCTTCTTTTGGTATTGTGTCAGCCCCTTATGTATTCAACCATCAAGGCCTTCATTCGTTATCTTCACAAACCGTGTCTCCAGTTCCATTTTCACTTGGATGATTGGCTTCTCTTAGCCCGTTTCAAAGAGGAATCCTCCCTTCACACTTTTGTACTTTTTCAGGAGGCTGCTCATTTATGGTGGCTCGTCAAGGTGTCCAGATCCTTTCTTACACCCATCCAATATTTTGTCCACCTGGGAATTCTATTGAACTGTCATCTGATTTGAGCTCAACCTTCTTCCCTTTGCCTGTGAGGTATGGAATGTCTGGTCACCAGAATTCATGTTTCTACTTCTCATCTTGTGTGAGATATTATTTCTCCTTTGAGGACTTTGGCTTCTCTGGAATCACACATTCCCTTAGATCATAAACATATGTGTTTCCTCCAGTAGTCATTGTGTAACAAGTAGAATCTTTCACTGGATCCATTGTTCTCAACTATCTACCTATGTCCTCCCCTACTCAAGGAACTGTCATGGTCGCTGGATCATTCCCACCCACTTTCTTTACCTCCTCCTGTCCAGACCTTCACCTATTCACCAATGCTTCCCTTTAAGGTTTGGGAGTGTCTCTGAACAACTGTATGACTTCTGGCCTTTGGACGCAGGACAATATCTCACTTTACATTAACGTGCATGAATTACACTGGACAACAACAACAAAAATTGCTACTGAAGAAAACTCAAATGATTCATGGTAATATGATGGTGCTGATTTCAAAAATGTAGCCAGAATTTGTCCATAACCTCTAGATTTTCTTATTGTAATATCTCAATATTTTATCAGCACTGTGTGAAATACCATGCAACCAACTCAGTACAATAGTTATATGCTGTGCAGTTTAGTTTACTTGGACAGTTTAATGGAAAAAAGGCATACATTTTGATAAATTCAAACACTGACTGTATTGTGTTGTTGTAAAATTCCAAATATATTTTTCATATATGATATTTGTTCTCCATATAATTGTAGCAAATAGCGTGTCTTTTGCTTCATTCTCACATTTACTTACTCTACACAAGAACCAAGAAACCTTCCTGTGCTCAGTTTGCTAGAACATTTGAGAAGCCCCTCGACTAAGCATAAAAGGAGCAGAGTCAGAAGCCTCTCATTTGGTCACTTGGTGTCACTTCAAAATCCAATCTTCTTCCTTGCATTATACTCATGATATAATCAAATTTTCAAAACTTTGTTAAAATTTTTTAACTCTAGTTCTGTAAGCATAATTTTTTTTTTTCAGAAAATCATTTAAAACGCTAGCTGTCTCCAGTTCAAGGAAAGTCCAAAAGTGCAAAATCACCCAAACAGTTTCTGCTACATTTGTGGAAAATATATTGTAGTTTCTTGAAGGAAAAACATCACACATAAGGTAAAAGTAGCTTATTACTACCACTACTTTTGGTGTAAAATTTGGGACCAAGAAAAAGCATTGCATTCAAAATGTATGGCTCGGCATGGCCAGGTAGTTAGAGCACTTGACACGCAAACTGAGGGTTATCCTACCAAACATGCTCGCCCGTTCAGCCGTAGAGGCGTTATAATGTGAAGGTTAATCCCACTATTCATTGGTAAAAGAGTAGTCCAAGTGTTGACGTGGGTGGTGATGACTAGCTGTCTTCCCTCTAGTCTTACACTACTAAATTAGGGACGGCTAGTGCAGATAGTCCTCGTATAACTTTGCGCAGAATTCAAAAAACAAAACAAACAAACAATACTTGGTGAAGGAAACACTAATGTCAGTTTAAACATCACCACTACACAGTCATTATTTAAAACATATAGTAATCCCGTACTGATCGACTGTGAATAAAATAATTAGGACACGACTAACTTTTACTATCACATTTTAACCATAAGGTTCATATTGTTTTGTTTTTTAAACACAATTATACGTTGTAAAAATAGCCTAATCATAAAAATAATATCCAATAAAGATTTCAGTCATCAAATATTTTGAACTCACTTAAAATACCTGCCATGTCAACACACAGTAAACGTAATAAAAAAATCATGTTTACAATCATTACAACTCATAGCATATCTATCGAAAGGTAAAAACACCATAATTATAAACAAA